GGGTTAATTGGTCAAAAAACGCTTTCCGGAAACTCAAAAAATGTATATAGCATTGTTAGTGGTGATGAATCGTGGATTTACTGTTATGAACCAGAAAATAAACGACAGTCGGCTGTTTGGGTGTTCCAAGGTGAAGAAAAGCCAACAAAAGTCATCCGTTCTCGAAGTGTTTCGAAAAAGATGGTCGCGACATTTGTGTCAAAAGCGGGTCATATTGCAACAATTCCTCTTAATGAGCAAACAACTGTTACTGCGGATTGGTATACCACCATTTGTTTGCCAAAAGTCATCACCGAGCTTCGAAAAATCAACCCCGAAAGAAGAATCATCCTCCACCAAGACAATGCAAGCTCGCACACAGCCCAAAAACAAGGCAGTATTTAACGGAAGAAAACGTGGAATTATTGGACCATCCTCCATATAGTCCCGATCTGAGTCCTAACGATTTCTTTACTTTTCTGAAAATTAAAAACAGATTGCGTGCTCAAAGGTTCCAATCACGAGAAGAAGCAGTTGACGCATTCAAAAATGCCGTTTTGAATCTGCCAGCAAACGAGTGGAATAACTGCTTCGAAAATTGGTTCGAGCGCATGCAGATGTGTATTAATCTTCGTGGAGAATACTTCGAAAAACAATAAAGTCATTTAAAACTACCTGCCGTGTTGTTTTATTTCCACATGCAAAACTTAAAAGACATCCCTCGTATCCCATACATGTTCGATGGAGGAAAGATATGGAGATCGAAGAGGCCACTGAAGCAGACTAACTCTGGACGCTTCTAAAAAGTCTAAACTAACACGTGCGACAGGAGGTCATGCATTGTCCTGCATAAAAAGTGGTTGTTTCAATGTTGAATGCTGAAAGGGAAGCAGATGTGGTTGTAGAGCTTCGTCTTGGAGATCCGCCGGGTGGTACCTCGCGTTCGACAGTCAGAGACCGTCTGCCACCTACGAATACACAATCAATTGTTATTACACTTGGTACCTTTCTCTATGCTTTCAGGACAAATGTACGGGGAAATCCGTGATGTGTGAAATATGTCTGATAGGCATTTAGAGGAACTGTATTAACATACTAACATAAAAAAACTGCAATACCGCTGGAAAATTTCTAAAACATGATGATGATGAGTTCCCTGAAACGTTCAAAAACGAAGTTCGTGCGATATTAATTTTTTTGTCTTTGGCATTTTCCCCTGCAACCGCCGCCAGGAGAATGATTTTCGAAATCTTAAAAGCTTTTCCAACCTTGGAATATTAGCAACCTTATACGAGTATAAAAATTTCATTGCAAATTCAGGCAGCACTTCAGTTATAGACGGGTCAAGGATTTGAGGACAGATTGACAGACGCACAAACCGGAAATCAGTGAGATGGTGTTTTGTGTCCAAAAAACATATCTCATTTTCGATTTTTTTTGCGATTACAATACTTCCTCCTAATCAGATACCTGTAAAAAACCTAAGGACCCGGAGGTAAAATATTTCATGTCCTCCCTCAGTTTATAAATAAAGCAAATTAAAATGTTGCTTGAGAACCACAGGAATGTGCATGGCTCATTCAAATTTCAGTAAATATACAAGCAATATCAGAAGCTACCGCCATATAAAAATAACCCTATATTATTCTCAGTGTATCTACTAATTGGTGATTTTTTTGCTAGTACCTTTTTGGCAACACTGTTTTTGACAGATGACGCGTGAATCGTGTCTTGTGTCATTGTCAAACTTGTTCAGTTTGGTCTATAATTTAACGATGAATCGACTTACGAACGAACAACGCTTGCAAATTATTGAATTTTACTATCAAAATTCATGCTCGGTTATTTATGGGCAATTTCGAACCCAGCTTACATTATTGGACCTTAAACCACCAACACGCAGACGTAGAGTGAGGACTGAAGAAAATATTGCGGCTGTATCCGCCAGTGTTAGTAATGACCGTGAAATGTCGATTCGCCGCCGTTCGCAGCAATTGGGCCTCGGTTACTCCACTACGTGGAAAATTTTGCGACAGAATTTGGGTGTAAAACCTTATAAGATACAGCTGGTGCAAGAATTCAAGCCACACGACCTCCCACAACGTTTCCAATTTGGTGAATGGGCGCTGGCAAAGTTGGAGGAAGATCCACATTTTTATCGAAAAATTGTGTTCAGCGACGAAGCTCACTTCTGGTTGAATGGGTACGTTAACAAGCAAAATTGCCGCATCTGGAGTGAATACCAGCCAGAAGCATTGCAAGAGCTACCAATGTATCCCGAAAAAATCACTGTTTGGTGTGGATTATGGGCCGGTGGCATCATCGGGCCGTACTTCTTCAAAGACGACAATGGCCGAAACGTAACTGTGAATGAAAACAAACTTTTTTTTGCCCAAAATGGAAGAGCTGGACTTGGCTGACATGTGGTTTCAACAAGACGGTGCCACATGCCACACCGCACATGAAACAATGGCCCTATTGAGAGGCGAGGTCGGTGAACAGTTTTCTCACGTTTGGGGCCCGTCAATTGGCCGCCTAGATCGTGTGATTTAACGCCGTTGGACTATTTCTTGTGGGGCCATGTTAAAGCTAATGTCTACAGGGATAAACCAGCAACGATTGACGCACTGGAAGCCAATATTGAAGCATTTATTCGTGAGATACCGGCCGATATGTTGGAGAGAGTGTGTCAAAATTGGACCTTGCGCATGGGCCATCTAAAGCGGAGCCGCGGCCAACATTTACATGAAATAATCTTTAAACATTAAATTATATCGACCGTTCTATCGACTCAAATAAAGATTTAATCGTTTTTTCAAATTTTTTGTGTTTTTTTTTTAAATCAAATCCTATACCCCTTAAAAATCACCCGTTATAATACAAAATATATAAATATTACGAATGAGAAATTCAAAAAATTTCTCTCGTTTTACTACCAAATAGGTTGATGAATTAATAGTTTCTGACGAATTCCATATTGACCTAAACAATTTATAATTAAATGGTTAAAGTATAACACTAATGTTACACAAATAAAACTACGGATAGACTCGTGCTTAATTTTTGAACGAAGTTGTGTTTTCAGTTTGTACAAGATTAAGACAGGCCTAGCATAGTAAATAAAAAAATCATAATTACCTCGAACAATGAGGGTTCACAAAAATGGAGAACGTGAGTCCCACTCAAATTCGCCTCGGCGGTTCCCTTCTATAGAATTACAGATCGATGGTTGAGTGTAGTTATCTGCATGGCTAAATTTCCAAGAGGGTGAGAAAAAGCCTCCGACAAAAAAAACACCAAAGGGGCTGATTTCTAATAAGAACCAACCTCACCACCCTATAAGTTCGCAACTCAGCGTGTGAACTATTTCACAGAATCATGCAGCGAGCCGCAGAAAATTCCTACACCAGAGCACCGGAAATATCAGATAACCAAATAAGTTCGTGCGGTTTTTAGTAGAAAAATATTATATAATATTTTATTGAGAAACAATAAGACACTATTTATTCGTCGAAGTAATTACCATCACATTCAATGACCCTTTGCCAACGTGGAACCATTTGTTGTATGCCGGTATTGTAGACCTTGGATTTGGAGTAAAAAAATTGGCGTACTTTATTTATTAAACCATCTCGAGTTGTGAGCTGTCAGTGCCTCATACAGTTGTCAAGAGACAAAAAAAGGTGATAATCACTGGGCGAAATATCGGATGGAAGAATATGCGGCGATTCCAAGCCGAGTTAAGAAATTTTTTCTCGGGTCACTTTTGCGGTATGAGGCTTGGCGTTATCCTGCAAGAATATCACTTTCTTCTGATTGATCAAAGGAGGCTGTTTCTGGATAAGTGCTGCTTCTACTCAGTGAAGCTGCTGACAATACAAGTTAGTAGTGATGGTTTGACCTATTTCCAAAAACTCATAATGGATAATTCCAGTTGCTGTCCACCAAACATACAACAACACCTTGTTGGGTGCAAGGAAGTCTTGGGCATGTGTGGTACCGAATCCGTAGGCGACAACCAATGATACGAACGCTTAGAATTCGAATACAAGATCCATTTTTTGTCGCAGGTTAATAACCGATTAAGAAATGGTTCATTAGCGTTGCGTGAAATGCTTGCTGAACAAATGGTAAGACGACTTAATTTGTTATCATTTGTAAGTTCATGTGGGACCCATTTGCTTAACTTCCACGTCTTTTCTAGCTGATGAAGATGCAAACGAATGGTTTCAGGACTCACTCTGAACGTTTCTGCAAGTTCTTGGCACGTTGACCTGGAACTTGCGTCCACAACCTGTCGAAGATCCTCGTTGTTCATGATTTTTGGTCTCCCTGAGCGCGGTTCATCGCTCAAACTGAGATTTCGGAACAACATTTTTTGAACCACTTCTGTGCTATTCGACCACTAACGGCATCATCTCCGAATGCGGTACATATTTTTCGCGCCGCCGTTGCAGCTTTTGTACCAAGTTTGTACTCATACAGAAAACAACTTTGAATTACTGTTTTATTCGTCGCCATTTTCAATTATTAAAACTACGTATGTAACAATTTTCAGCACCTTTTTATGTATGTGAGAAAAGAAGGATTCATACTAAAGTGACAACAGGTAACAAACAATCGCTATCGATCAACAACATCCGTGGCAATGTGCGATATACAGCAACCGCAGAACTTATTTGGTTACCTGATAGCTCCAAGTCATCTTCAGCCTTCATATTTATGATCGACAGAAATTATAAAAAATGACCTCCAACAAGATGGAGAGTTTTCGATCTTAAAATTATTAGACTGAGAGACGTGGTTTGGTATCAAAATGAAATTCGATGTTTTTAAGAACTGCTATAAAATGATTATCCTAAATAAAAAAAATGCTGCAATAATTTACTTTATCCAGATCTAGTTAATTCTTAGTCGACCATAAAAAGAAACTCTGACAGTCGTTGAAACAAAAGGCGTAAAATGATATTTTTCTTATTTTAATAATATTCAGTAATGTCATCACAATATGTATATTCCAGATCAGAGATTAAAAGATGCTTGGGTACTTGGGAAACCGATACAGCTATTAGCCCTCACCGCTATCTACCTCTACTTTGTCAAGAAGCTTGGACCCCAGTTGATGGAAAAAAGGAAACCTCTAGAAATTAAGAAGATTATGATGGCTTATGATATACTCCAAGTGGTACTAAATGCATATGTCTCATGGGAGGTAAGCTTATCGCCAAAAAATCTTCAATCTTCAATATAGCTTCAGTATACACACAGTGTTTTTCAAAAAGATCCCACGCCTACTGATTTTTTCAACGCGCCAAATTAGTAAACTAAAATTTGGGGTAATGAAATTAATAAATTTTTTTCTAATGAAATGTTGGGTCATGTTATTTGGAAGCTTCTTGAGAGTACTTTATAACTCTTGATTATAGAATCACTTTTCTTCAAAATGGGGACTCAAAATGTAATAAGATATGAGACATCTGTTTAAAATATTTGACAGCTTTTTAATGAAATATTTCACTTTCATCACATATCCAGATAGACTTTTCCAAAAGAAGAATATTGACATAACATATGATACTATAACGTTTTGACGATTGGTTATAAATGATTGAATGTACAAAAACGTTCAACTTACTACCAGATATTTATTTTAAAAATTAGTGATTTTAAAGTTTTATACTATTTGAAAAAATTATGCAAATGGTCCCCAACCGTCATCTTTAAATTTACAATTGTCAATTTTACACTAAAATATAGTATTCATGGATCATTACTCCAAATTTTGGATTGCTAAAAATAAGAGGAGGACAGACGAAGTTGATCAATAATAATACTGAGAGCGATTCACTGTTATTATTTATACAGGTATTCATTTGAAAAACTTCCCACCACGGATTTATCAAAGTCATTGATTCACCCCCTTTCGCCCCTGGACCCCCTAGGGTCATTCCGTTGAAAATTTTAAATGACAAGCGGTATTGAGTAATAGCTTGTTTGAAAGTTCTTTCGAAGTTCTTTATTTTGAAGTTTGATTTTTTAAAATCAATCAATTCGTTTTCGAGAAAATCAGAAATTTTTTTATTTAGGATCTTAATTTTTTCAGATAGAAAACAAAAACACACGAAAATATCACGTTTTATTCCAATAAGTGTTCAAAATGTTGCCGGTTAGGGTTTGCCAAATATACAATTCGTTTATAATTTAAAACGGAAACTACCACCGGCATGAAGACCACACCATACAGTTATTTTTTGTGGATGAAGTGGTGTTTCTTGAAGCGCATGAGGGTTTTCACTTGACCAATAACGCATACTCTGTTTGTTGACGAAACCGTTTCGCCAAAAATGCACCTCATCACTGAAGATGATTTTGCGATGAGATTTGTTATTTTCTTGCAACATTTCTAGAGAACGTATGTCAGTTCATATGATCGAACGGCTCTAGATCTTGAGGTAGCTTGATCTTATAGGGGTGCAGGCCAAGATCTCTTCGCAAAATCGCCATACTGTGGTCTGAGCGATACCCAATTCTTGAGGACGTCATGGAATCGACGTGTCCTGTTCGTTTACGACGTTGTCTCACTAGCACGGGAACATCAAGCAGTGGACTCAAATTTTTTTACTAGACTATTGCTTGTCTACTGGGACGATAATTACGACCAAAAACTGGCATTAACGCTCTTAAAGTCACCGACTCGGCATTTCGGTAGTAAATTTTAATTATTTGTAAGCGTTTTTCGTTCGTGTACTTAACCATGTTGAAAATGTTTTCTTTACTGAATGTTTTGACATTGACAGTTCGGTAATTGATTTAAAGGTGCGTTCACAGTGAAAGTTCAAAGTTGTCAGGTCCCTATTGGAAAACCACACACATGTAGAGTCTAAATAATTCGATGTTGAACCCAAGATAGCGGCTATGGAAACTATGCTTATTTATTCATTGCTAAACGTCATCGGTACTGTCTATAACACCACAGTACTATCAATTGATTTTGAATTCGACTCGAAAGCTACTCTAAATACTAAATACCTGATGTAAAATACGAATAATTAAAGTTATATATATATATATATATATAATACCTATAACATTTGGGTGAGGACTCTAAATACCATCTATTCAGCGTTAGGGCGTGGTATACAAAGTCTTTACATATTTCTAGCCATTTAACCTTATATAAACAAAGCAGATGCCTTCGATGCATCGAAATATCCTGACCATAAACGTTAATATTTATTACACCATCGTTGGTGGATGTTTCGGTAACGTCAACCATTCCTTGATAATGAGGTTGTCCCCAATATACGAATTTCTAAACAGGATAATTTTTAGAAACCATTAAAATGCGCAAATGAATAACATTTTGCAAATACAGGGTGTCCGCAAAGTTGGGGTTTTCCTTTTCAGAAACAACTACCCTTGAAATAACAAAGGTAATGTGTAATGAAACGAGGGCGACCAAGTAAAAAAAATAAAGAAAAAAGTACTCACTCTCAGTTGACGAGAAGGGCTAAGTACGTCTCTGCCCGAAATCATACCGCTCCAACAGAAAATGAAATCAGCTGATGCGCTACCGAGCAGATGCCAGCGGTGGTGCAGACCACGAACAGAGGTAACAAATATGACGGTGTTGCCGCGTTTTCAGTTTTTAGGTAAACGTACTTTATAGGTATTGTTCGAAGTTATTATTATAAATGGTCCAATGAGCATACCGTTCACCATGCCAGCCCAAACATTCACCGAAAATGTTTGTTGGAAATGTGCCGGACGGACAGCGTGCGGATTTTCTACTGACCAAACATGAGTGTTGCGAAAGTTATTCACCCCATTACGCGTGAACGTAGATTCGTCTGTCACCAATATGCACTTCAAAAATTCCGGATTATTGTCATGTTGATGCAACAACCACTCACAAAACCGCACTCTTGCTAGAAAATCGTCAGGTTGAAGGGCTTGTACACGTTGGAAGTGAAACGGATACAGCCCCTCTTCACGCAGCGTTTGCCACACTTTAGTTTTTGATACTTGCACTTCTCTAGCCACGTCTCTAGTGCTTGTTGTTTTTTGAAACGCAATCGATTATACGGGTTCGTTTACCTCTACACGCGTGACCGTAACCGTCGGTTGAAGGTTGCATACTGACCTGACACACTGACCCCGACCCAGTTCTGTCGTCGGGTTGAGCCAGTGACCTTGTACCATTCGGTGATGTCGCGGGTCGCGGCTACAGGACGGTATTAAGATATTTTTGATGTTGCAGAGCCCTTTATCTCGGTTCCCTTAAGACATTGGTGTATATGGTACTAAGAAAAATTTCTTTTGTTTTCGAGATCTACACGTCGTGTAAAGGAAAACCCCAACTTTGCGAACACCCTTTAGGCTCGATGCCACTTTCTCCTCAACAATATCTGACTGAAAAAACATAATGCTCCAGTGCCTTTGAATTTTTTGTCTTTTTACAATTCCTGATACTTTTAGGCTCTGCTTTCACTTCTCAAAGGCAACTGGAGGTGCAACGCTATAGATTATTCGGACGATCCATTTGCCTTGAGGCAGCTGTGGATTGGAAAATGCTATTTTTGGTTGAAAATATTGGACCTTCTTGATACGGTAGGTACAAAATTAACATTACAGTTCCAACTCTTTATAATCTATTCACCTAACCGATTATTATAATAAATGTATTCTAAAGTGTTATACAGGGAGACAATTGGACGTGAATCATAGCAGCGTTTGCATGTTTGCCAGATTACGTTTCTCGAGCTCGTGCTCGTCCATAGTGTTTTTCATGACATGACAATTCGTAGGCAAAAATGTCAAAAAAAAATATAAGATTTTTAAGATTCTAGCCCCTAGAATTCAAATCTAAGGAAATTAATAATAATAATAATAATAATGTTTATTGTCACAAAATACAGGTAAATATTAAATATTGTACACAGTAAACATAAAGCACTCAAAAAAGTTGGCACTTGTGTTTGGGTTTGTTAAAAATAAAAACTAAAAGTGCAGTCAGTATATGAAAAAAAACCGTTAATACTGTATAATTTGGTGAATTGAATTATTATGGTGATGTCAGGAAAAATATGCAGACAATTATAACTAAAGTAATAGTATGGTTAGTGTAAGTAAAATTTTGATTTTGATAATGATTTTTCATATCTACAGTTTCGTGGATGGAGCACCTTGGTTAATGTAAAATTCATTTTTTTAGTTCTTTTTTAAGTGACCTATTCGATTTAATCACTCTTAATAACTCTGGTATGAAGTTAGAGAATTTTGGTCCCAAGAAAAACAGAGATCGTTGTGTAATGATTTTTCATGTTTGTGGAATGCACACTGAATTTTGATTGAATCTTCTTCGGTAGTTATGAATGGTACGATTCAAGTATTTCGAATATTTAATATAATGTATTAGACCACATTAAAAGTAAATTTGTCTGCAATCTAATAACTGAGCTTCCACATATAGAGAATCACTTGAATAAGTAATCTCCCTATGGAGGATCAATTTTAGAATTAATTTTTGAATTCATCAACCTTTTTGTAATTATTATTCATAACTCCGCCAAGCCAAAATTCCGTAAAGTAATGGAGGATAAACAAGATTATATAGATATTTCTTATACAGAATATCTCTGAAGTACCTGAATTTTGGAATAATACATCTCAGTCTCTTCACAAGGTACTCTGTATGGGTATTCCATTTCAAGTGTTTGTCCAAAATCACGCCTGAGTATTTTATTTTATCGGCTGACTGAATCTTTTTGAGAGATCACTGCTGGTATGAGCTTCAAGTTTTTTAAACTGTGGTGAGAGCCTGTCCTTACAAGAAAATGCTATATAGTGTGTTTTGTTCTAATTAATTGTCATAGTTCTTTCCGAAAAGAAATTTATAAATGTTTTTAAATCATTTCGATCGTGCTTTTCAGTGTACGCCACTGGTTACTTTCATAGAGAATAGCTGTATCATCCGCAAAACCGATAACTTTACCTGTACTACTTATTTTGAACAAATTGTTAATAAATAGATTAAATAAAATGAGTCCTAATACTGAACCTTGAGTTACACCGTACGATACGATATGGGCTTCACTAAATGTATTATTAATTTTGATGCAGTTTGACAAATAATTTTCTACAAGTTTGTATGTTATTCCACGGAAACCTAAGTTTTCTAAAGTTGTTAAAAGCGATTCATGAGTAATAGAGTCGAATGCCTTTGCCAAGTCAACAAAAACACATGCAGTTGGTTTGCCGATATCGAGATTCGTGTAGATTTTACTTGTTAATTTTACAATAGCATCTTGAGCAGATTTGCTTTCTTGAAAACCATATTGCTGTTTCGCTATAAAGTTACATTTTTTTGCAAATTCGGTGAATCGTTTTTGTAACACTTTTCAAATATTTTAGAAAAATTGGTCAAGATGGAAATTGGTCGATATTTGATGGTTTTTCTCTTTCTCCAGATTTAAATAACGGTTCTACGATCACGTATCTTAAACATGTAGGGAATATTCCTTTATTCATACAAGAATTTATCAAATATGCTGCAGATACTGAAATTTATCCTCTTGAGAGCATATGCTGTTATATTATCTAGACCTGGAGATTTTCTTAATTTTAATTCATTGATTATTGTCTTTATTTCATGCGTATCGGTCGGTTCCAGATATAATGAGTTATATAATCTGGTCTTACTATAATTTAGTTTTTCCGCGTTTTTTGTTTTCTGACAACCTTTTCCCGATTTTTGAAAAATATTCACAAAATTCATTTGCTATATCTACATTATTACTCACTAGTTTCACCATTTTCTTTTTTGGTTGTACTAATTTTGTTGCTTTGTTTTTTACCTTGTATTTTATTGATGAATTGACACATTTTGGACGAACAATTTTGTAGATTATCAAACTCTTCTTGGAGATATTTAATTTTAGCCTCTTTAATTATTTTTGTCAGTCCGTTTCGATATGATTTAAATTCATTCAAAAGATTCACGTCATAAGGATATTTTTTGGTTTCCTTATAAAATATAATTCTATTTTTTTGTTGATGGAGGTAATAATCCCTTTTGATATGCATGCTTGTATTTTCATTTGTGTTCGTGGAATCTTTACTGTTTTGGTGCATTCAGCAATATGGCCTTCAATGCTAGATATAAAATGGCCAAATGCATTTTCGTTATTAGGATCGTTATATACTGCAATTCAATCGACCAAGAGAAGTATCATTTGTTTTATTCGCAATCGCGATTCGCGTCTATATGACCTAGGCTTAACTTGAGGGAGAATGAACGTATAAACTAATCTGTTTTCATGTGGAGTCGAGACACTTATCAAATCACTTGGTACCTACCTATTGCAATTCTTTTTGATATTATGTGATTCTAGGTATTTTTCGTCCTTCGGAAGAGTTACAGACAAATAAGCTTCTTACATCTATACCACCATTCAGTCATGTTACTTGGCATGTGGTACGGTGTTACGTATTTCTGTGGTGGAGATAGTTTATGGGTGGCTTGTGTGAATGGATTTGTACATACCATCATGTTCCTGTATTACTTCTTGGCTGCCTACGATGCTAGTTGGAAAAATAACTTAACTGTAAAGAAAACTTTAACGCAGATTCAACTGGTAAGTATGAATACTATTTTTGGAGGTGAAAGTATGATTTAAAATGGGCGCCAACATCTCCATTATCTAGATGCAGGATGTTGATGTTTCGATATCAAGGTGGAAGTCTCCAAAGTGAATATGTCGTGGCCATATCATGAAATGGTCCGCGATTGATCATATCCTAAAACAGAGTGTTCATAGAGAATATTTAATTGGATCAAAATTAACATTAACAGTCAAAAAGTCTAGCTGTGTCCTCCTAAACTGATACACTTTTGTTTTTCTTTGTTCTTCTCCTTTTCTCTTGTCTTCTCCGTTCTCTTCTTCCTTGACATTGTCTGGTTTCTGAGGATCCAGGACTGACAGATTCGACTAACGTCATTAGACAGTGAATAACCGGCAAAAGTCCAACGGACCGACCAGACAAACAAATGACGAATACTCATAATATCTAATAAAAATTCAGAATACGTTAGGAACTCGTTAAGCACGACAACATTACACAGAATATTATCAATAGTCAAACATAATATTTTAACTGGCACACGATTTTGACTTCAAATAAATTAATAACAATGTTATTTTACAGTAAAGTACTAACCTGTAAACACGTCCCGAACTCCACGGCTTTTGACCTTTTGACCGGTACCTATTTGCGTGATCCACATAATACTCGAGACCTCGAATCCCACTTTCTGCCTCATTTGCAAATTAATAATTAGAATTATCAATTAAAAAACAACTTTGTTTTTAACGATCGCCGTGCTGAAATGTAAACAAAACATCCCCAGCGCCTCTATCGATAATTATTTTACGATTTGATCAAACATGCTTGACGATTTCATGAAATAGACGCGCGTTTAGTTGATTATATTGTTGAACGACAGTCACCGGGTGTCCAGCCTTTTTTATAATGATCTATTTAAGTTAAAGTTATAGGGTCTAGTGTTCATGTCATATTTTCTCTTTTCTCTATCGAAACAGACTATTGAATAAAGTTGTATTTGAATGAACACCCTATATATTTTCAGAGAAAATTGTAGTGACTTTTCTTCTGATTCAAAATATACACACGGTGTTTGGTGCATCGTTTGCCAAATTGAAATGACGGACAGGGGAGGTCTTTTTCTATCACCCTAGGTCCCTCGAACAGTTTTTAGCCCAACGGCATTAATTATGTAGTTTTTTTTAGTTTTTTTTAGTAAAAACTACAAAATGTAATACACAAAGTGAAATAAAAAAAATAAAGAGTATGTCCACCTAATGATTAATTAATCTTAATGGGTGATGTTGTACCAATCTTACAAAATCAACATTACTTGCCAGCAGCATGCAGTTTTTTATTTATAAACTTACAAAGGGTTACAAAGAAGAACAAAAAAATGTAAGTCTCAATTTTGAATTTCCTTTTCAAAAACTACTCTAGTTTATCCCGATTCTAACGGTATAAATAAAAATAATTCCTTGAATTTGCAAATTTTGTGTACAGGGTCAATTTTTTTCGGTCGGATAATAACAATGAATTTTTGTTTCTGTTGTGTAATTCACACGTACAACGTAACTCAGGTAAAAACTTTTGTCTCCCTCGTAGACAGCGAAGCAGTACCATCTGTCTCTCTCTTTTCTTAGTTGAGCGGCTAACAGACGACGTGCGTCCATTTTTCCATCGAGGTTCGTTCCTGCTGGCTGCCTAACGCTTTTGTTATTTCTACGTAGTGCGGCGACGTGTGACTGATGTTGTTTTTCTCAGTTTTCGTTGACTTCTGTTTTGCTGATGGCTGTATTTACAAATGAAGAGTATGCAGACATGTTGTTGGTGTACGGAAAAGCCAACTGTATTGCACGAGCAGCGCAAAGAATCTACGAAGAGCGATATCCTAACAGGCGTGTACCTACTCGCCACACATTCCAAAACACTTACCGACGCTTACGAGAAACCGGTCCTGTGAGCAATAATGTACCAAGAGGTGTCGTAGTGCGACACAATGTTGATATCGACGAGAGGATTTTGGCACTTGTCGAGGAAGATCCTACTCAAAGCAGCATCCGAAATGTACCTTCATCACTGGGAATTTCAATTTGGAAAGTGTGGAAAGTACTTCGCCAGAATAATACACAGACCTGGTCGATCCGGACTTTTTGACAAGTGTTCTGTGGACGGATGAGTCCTAATTCACCAAGGAAGGGATACTAAATTTGCACAATCTGCACGATTGGGCTTCAAAAGATCAGAACCCAAGAGTGAAGAGGCCAAGCTCTTTTCAGAGAAGATACAGTGTGAATGTTTGGGCAGGAGTAATTGGCAATCATGTGATTGGGTCACATTATTTGCCAGATCGTCTTAACGGAGATAATTATCTACATTTTCTGCAAAATAAGTTGCCCGAATTTGTGCATGAGGTGCCAATTTTTAATGGCGACAGACGAATTGTGTTCCAACATGATGGCTGTCCTGCACACCGGAGGCTAATTGTGCGGGAACATCTAAATGATGTTTATCCATATGCGTGGATTGGACGAGATGGTCCTATTGCATGGCCTACACGCTCCCCAGACTTGGCTCCATTAGATTTTTACATCTGAGGACGCGCAAAAGCCCTCGTTTACGCGACAATAGAAGAGGCGTTTGGTACGATTCGGCAAGAAATTCGCCTACGTACGACAACCGTAGAGATAAGACAAAGATGTCTTGCATGCATACGCAATAGAGGACAACAATTCAAACAAGATTTGTGAAACAGAAAAAATAATAAATGACTGAAATTTGATTTTACACGTTTTTTTTATTTTCCTTCCCCTGTACACAAAATTTGCAAATTCAATTAGTTAGTTAAACTTTTTTGTGACTTGTGGCATACCGTTACAATCGGGATAAACTAGAGTAGTTTTTAAAAGAATTCTTAGAACGTGGACGCTTTTAGTTTTTTTTACAAAAATTCTAAATTGAGACATTTGTTTGTTCTTCTTTGTAACCCTTTGTGAGTTTAAAAGTGAGTGAGTGAGTTAAAAAACTACTTCCTGCTGGCAAGTAATGTTGATTTTTTAAGATTGGTACAACACCACCCATTTGGTGGACACACTCTTTATTTTTTTTATTTCACTTTATGTATTACATTTTGGAGTTTTTACTAAAAAAATTTAAAAAATCTACATAATTAATTCCGTTGGGCTAAAAACTGTTTGAGGGACCTGGGGTGATAGAAAAGGACCTCCCCTGTCCGCCATTTCAATTTGGCAAACGATGCACCAAACCCCTGTATATGGTTTATCATACTTATTTTCGTCAGTTTGGCTACAAACTTAAAGTTTGTGTCTTTTCCTTATGTGTATGCGAGTTAGAACCAATTTGACTCTAGCTAGCTATGTAATCTGGTTTAGGGCCGGAATACATATGATTAGCTGAAGCACAAACTTCTATTTTTCGACTAAATTAATTAGAATAAGTTTAGCAAGCCATCTGCGAAAAGTCTCGAAACTGGACATACCAAAGACCAAAATATGCGAATTGACCTAAACATACCTCAGTCCAGAAGCTGATAGTTTGCGAGATACAGGGTGTCAAAGTTACAATTTTATTTTCTATTTTTCCTTATTGCTGGAGAAGTATTTCAGATTTTCGCATGAAGCTCGGTATAGCGATGATCTCTAGTATGAGAATCCGTTATTTTTTATAGCCAACTTCTAGAGGGCACCACTTACTGCACTATTTCGGTAAATAACCTATAATAACTTTTTTGTGCTACCCTGTATACAACAACTGACCGAAAAGTCCTATTTTCTCGTATTTCCACAACAAAAAAGGCTTACTTGGTAGAAGTGTCTAAAGTTATCGAAATATTTGTTTTTAAAAGTTCCAATACATTATTTGTACCATGGTTATAAAATATTTTTTATGAAGTTGCTTTGGATAATATCTGAGTGAATAATTTTAAGTTGACAATAAGTTGTTAAACATCATGGAGTATACGTTTGATGAATATTCTGATATTGCATTTAATGTACGGATTGGTCAGATGAAATGCTTTAAAAGCACGAAAATTGTACGCTGACAGATTTCCTATAGACACCTTTCCAACGAATCGATCAGCGGTTACTAGAAACTGGTAAGAAATGGTTATAGCCTTATTTTGAGTAGTAAAAGCCATTTGAATTTCATGTAGTTTTGCTCAAAATATGGGCCGTCATGGTGGAGCTCCCAGAACTGTACGTACAGCTGAAGTTGAAGAAAATGGTTTAGAGGCTGTCTTCGAAAATCCTACAGATGGGGTTAGGAATGTAGCTCGAGAATTTCAAGTTCCAAATGTGCAGTAAATACCATTTTTCGAAAGCAACTGCTCCACCATACCACCTGCAAGAAGTTCATGGTTTAAGCGCGGATGATGACCCGCAAGGGTGGAATTTTGTTCATGGCTCTTAAGGAAGTTTAACCACGACAATGGTTTTACTTCGCTAATACTGTTTTTCGGACGAAGCAGGATTTGGAAGTGATGGGCTCATTAACTCGCGTAATCTTCACATTTATGCAGATGATAATCCTCATGCAATAATCTAAACCCGCCAGCAATTGCAATTTCAAATTAGTTTATGGACAGGAATAATTGGACAATATTTAATAGGACCCGTTGAGTTACCATCTAGACTAAATGGCCAAAGGTATTCACAATTTCTTAAAGAACAATTAATCACTCTGCTGGAAGATCTTCCACGAAGAAACGCATGAATATGTGGTTTATGCACGACGGCGCTCCACCTCGTTTTAGTGTATTAGAGAGCATCTAAATAGAGATTATCCAGACCAGTAGCCGGGTATATCACCAGATTTAAATCCTATGGATTTCTTCTTCCGGGGTGATTTAAAACGACGCGTTTAAATATGCCAGTGGAAACTGAAGATGATTTTCGGCAAAGAGTTTTCCACCATAGCCAGGAAATGAAAAATAACATCCAAATACTTTGGAGAGTGCATCAAGGATTTGTTTGTCGAGCTCGAGAGTGTGTTAGGCATTTTGAACAACTGTTGTAGTTGCTATTTCTGTTTATTAGTTTTGTTGCCTTCCTCATTTGTTATTATTAAAAACCATAGCAACGCTACTCAGATATTATCCAAAGCAACTTGACTATTATGTTATAAAAGTGTTTTATCATAATGGTACAAGTGAACCTTTTTTTTTTTGTTGTGGAAATACGAGAAAATAAGATTTTTCGGTTAGATGTTGTATGCAGGGTATGCACAAAAGAGTTATGATAAGTTATATACCGAAATAGTGCTGAAAGTGGCGCCCTCTAGAAGTTTGGGCATACAAAATAACGGATTCTCATTTCTCATACTAGAGAGCCTCCCTATACCGAATTTTTTGCCAAAATCTCGAATATTTCTCAAGCAATAAGGAGAAATAGAAAATAGAATTGTAACTTTGACAGCCTGTATCTCGCAAACTATCAACTTTTGGACTAAGGTATGTTTAGGTCAATTTACATATGTTGTCTGTAATATCTTCACTTTCGAGATTTCCCAACCTCTCGCATACACCGTGTCAGTCTCACTGAAGCTTTAAAGTGTGTTCCGATTAAAAAAGTACAACTTCATTCACTTTCTGAGGAACCAGGTATACAAAAAATATTACATGAAACATACCGTAATAGACCCTATTACTTTTATATACAACTTTTTGTTTTAGAAGGTTACAGAAAAAAAATTAAAGGGTATCAATTTATAGCCGGACATCCTGTACATAAATGAGCGCTGGCAAAGGTTCTTCCTACCCCCTTTTTCTGGTAAACTTTCAATTTTAAATGTCAATAAAAAGTGATCTATAAGTAAAACCACGTTTTCAACACTTTTTTTATACTCCAACTACCAGGAAGGCCTAAGGCCTAAACACCCATTGGGTACCGTGGGGCTATAGGGGGATACAGGGGAAAGGGGGAACGTCACACGGACTCTGGCGAGGGAACACGTGTGCATGTAACATGCACACATTCTGGCTCCGCCTACGAGATCCGCCCGGTGGTACCTCCACGTTCGACAGTCAGAGACTGTCTACCACCTACGGACAATCACAACGTCCATAGCCAAGAGAAAAATTTCTCCTGGGACGGGACTCGAACCCGCACAGCGCACGGCGACTGATCAGGAGACCGAAGAGTCTACTACTGCGGCCACCGCTGCTGCCTGATGTAAAAACTGGAATTTACAATGGACAACTGTTGTCGGTAATGAGATGCACCAGATACTCCTCTCCTTCGTCAATCCAATTACATATTAATATCTGGGATCAGTCTTCTGGTTCATGCACCACAGCCAGTTGCTAAAAAGACTTCTTCTCCACATAACCCCCGCTATATACAAGGTCCTACTGCTCAAATACATGAGGCGTTGCCGCCCTGACTACTTTGTCGTTACATAATGCTGTTCACATTAGGGCTGTCCGACTGATCAATGACACTTCTGTAACTGACAGTATCGGGACCCTTTCGCACCTGCGAGCGGTCGGCGATCTGGCTCTCTGTATGATGCCGCCAGGCCCGGCGTTGTGACTGCTAAACGACTCGCCAGGCTCGTGCTTTTTCTACTATCTCGAACTATGCGCCTAGGAACAATCTATATGAGGAGGCTTTCCCTGGTTCTGCTAATCTTTTGCAGTTCAGAAAACGCCGTGCCCCGGTATTTAGGTTTCTTCCTACGTAGACTTACGCGGTTGCTGCGGTATAAAGAAACATCGACGGGCATTTGATGATCTGGTTTCTTTTAACTGATATGATTTGAAGAAAGAAAGAAATAGCCCACATTCACAGTATCATAACTATATTTAACCTTTCCAGGTACAATTTCTGTTCTTCACCCTGAAATTCTCACAGCTCTTCATCCAAAAGGATTGCATGTACCCCAAGATTGCATCGATTTTGTTTGTACCACAGAATTTGTTTATGTCTGCTCTATTTATGGACTTCTACTTAAAGTCGTATGTGTACAAAGTGAAAAAGAGCTGATTATTTGGCATTTTGTAGGGAATACTTGTATTTATTGATATTTTAGTATTGACAAGCCAATAAATTTTTTTTATTTATACATGCACATTGTTTTTTATTCATGGTTTCTCTATGGAAACATTATCAATAATTATAAGATTAAACGAACTTACCTAAGTGAAGTTTGATCGTAATTATATGACCGTCTCTTCCGAATAGATCACTATGTAGTTCACTCTCGCCGCTAGGTGGCGCCACGCATTCCAAAGCTAAATAAAATAACATCTGACCGGTCCTACCCTCGCGTACCACCGAACGCTGTTGATGATTCATTATTTCAAAGCAGTAACTGTTGCGTTAGAATAGATCACGGGTTCTGGGAGGGAGGGAGTGATCTATTCGGAAGAGACGGTCATATAATTACGATCAAACTTCACTTAGGTAAGTTCGTTTAATCTTATAATTATATTACCCGTCTCTTCCTCTAGATCACTATGTAGATGTTTAAAGTTGATTCTGCAACAGTTACAGGAGAATAAAAGAAAGAGGGAAGTAGTAACTACTCTCTTTAATCTCCAACATTCTTATGAGAGACAACCATCCATGTGCGAAAACTTATTCTAACTGTTACAACTGTAAACTATTCACTATAGTCTGAGAATTGCGTCTGCAAAATTGTCAGTATTTTTTACAGGTCTGTTATAAAATCTTGCAAACACATTTGATGACGAAGTCCAACCTGCTGTATTGCGTATTGTATCGATGTTGATACCCCTGTTGACAGCTGCTGACGTGGACTCGTGTCTAGTACTATGTGCTGTAAAGATCGATGTGTCAATTCCACTTTTGTCCAGCACTATGCGAATCCAACGACTAATGGACTGTGCCGTTGCTTCCTTATAAGGTTTCTTATGAGTCAGAAAAAGTTTCGAGAGCTTACCAGACTGCCTGAAATCTCTGGTTCTGTTCAAATAACATTTGAGCGTACTTGCTACACATAGTATTGGGTTATTGTGAAAAAATGGAAGTATCAGTAAAGGTTGGTATCTATTTGGGGCAGAGGTTTTAACCCTTGCCGGGACTTTTATTTCTATTTTTGATTCCGATATTTGGTACCTCTATAACTGAAAATGTTTGTACTCTGTGTGCCGTAACCAGGGCCATCAACATCGATAATTTATGTGTCAACGCCTCTAGACTAATTGTATTATTAGGGTAACATGTTTCCAGATAACCTAAAACCACAGCCGGATCCCACGTTACATGATATTTAGGCAAAGGTGGTCGTAATTTGAAAACGCCTTTGAAAAATCTTTTGATTTGATGGTCTTCGCCAACTCGAGGTGAAATAAGCAAGGATAAAGCCGATCTTGTTGTATTCAACGAACTATATGATCGGCCTTGGTCATACAAGCGCGACAAGAAACATAGTATAGCCTGGCTATTTAGTTCAAAACAGTTTATGTTATGTTGGTGACAGAATTCCCACCATAGTTTCAATCCGTTGGTGTATTGCTTCAGTGACGACTGTGCTAAAGATGAAACTGATATCTCCACTGCCTCCTCAGGGATTCCATTATTTATCATTGCCTGCCTGATAATAGCCCTGCTTCCAGGGAAAGTTTCCGGTGTAGCGCATGGGGTGTTCTGTCAATGGATAACAATAAATTTATGTTAGGAGAGAAAACTATTGATTTCTTTACAAGCAGTGATTTGAATAGAGGGTACCATGGTTGACTGGGCCAACACGGTACTACGACAATACCCTCAGTTTTGTCTGTAATTATTTTCTGTAGCACTTTAGCCACTAGGGAAAAAGGCGGGAATGCATAAAATTTGTAATTAGTCCAGCAAGTTGTAAACGCGTCGACAATTTCGGCTTCAGGGTCTTTGAACCAAGAAGCAAATCGCTTACATTTTGAATTTACTCTGGAAGCAAATAAATCGATCTCGGGTGTTCCTAAGTCACGACAAATTTGTTTAAACGCATAATCCGCTATTGAAAACTCTGTTTCAGTATTTAGTTGAAGCGATTCCTGATCGGCTATAATGTTATCTTGCGATTTTATATAAGACGCGAAAATAAATAAATTGCGCTCTTCACACCACTGCCAAATTTGCTTAGCAAGGCTGTTTAGATGTGGGAACTGAATACCACCCATTCTGTTCACATATGAAATGGCTGTAGTGTTATCTATTCGTAAAAGTATTTCGCAATTTACAAGATCTGCTGCAAAGCATTTAAGTCCAAAGAATGCAGCCAATAACTATAAATAGTTTATATGTTGCTTCTTATCTTCGTTGGACCAAAAACCGTGCGACTTGCAACCATTACAGTGTATCCCCCATCCCGATCGAGAACTGTCACTGAATATTTCCAATTTGAAGTTGAAACTGTGAAAAGTATTTTTGCCCGAAAGATGACTTTTCCACCAGCTAAGATCCATTAGAATCTCTGTAGACATTCTCATCTTGTGATTGTAAGACCCTCTGGACCTTCTCAAGGCCAACAATTTTTCGCGTTCACAATTCTTGGTGTACAGCCACCCATACTTGATTGCCGGACATGATGCAATCAATTTACCAATCAATTTCGCAAACTCCCGGATAGGGAAGGTTGTTTTATTCACGAACCTGCGCATATGTTCTGAAATACTGTTTTGTTTGTCTATAGGTAGGCTTAAGGACATATCTATTGTATTATATAGAAACCCCAAATACCTAATTTCTGTGCATGGCACAAGTACACTCTTCTCTAAATTAATCAAAAAACCTAAATCTAACAACACTTTCTTAGTTATGTTAACATTTGTCACACACTCAGCATAACTACGACCCATTAATAGAAAACCATCAATATATAATACTGACAAAAAACCTTGTTGTCGTAAATGGGATAGAACTGGTTTCAACAGTTTCGTAAACACATACGGCGCTGTATTTAGACCGAAAGGTAAACAAGTACATATATTCATACATTTGTCCGGAAAACACAAACCTGACATATTTCCGATGATGTTTATGAATAGAAATCAAGTGATACGCATCTTTGAGATCTATGGATGCAAGAAACATGTTTTTGTCCAATAATCGTGTTACCGTTTTATGGTCCTCCATTTTGAAATGTTCTGTCGTAATAAACTTGTTCAGGTCTTTTAGATTTAAAATCAATCTAAACGAGCCATCCTGTTTGGGTGTGAGAAAAATATTTGAAAGAAATTGGCCGTGCTCGAAAGAACATTTTCTTATAGCGCCCAGGGATAACAAACGCTCGATTTCTAAATTTAAAAATCTCTGTTCTGTTGAAGACCATTTCAATTCCTTAGGAACAGATTTCTGAACAGGTGTCTGAGAAAAAGGTATTAGATAACCTTTAACCCATGATAACAGAAGATTATCCGACGTTAACGAATTCCAAGCTGGTAAAAAGAATTTTAGTCTTCCACTTATATAAATTACCTTTAAAGGGTCCGCTTTTGATAGGCTTGGGTTTGATTGGTTCTGTATGCTGGACGAATTTCTTTCGTTGATCGGGGGGGCTTTCCGAGGAGTCTTGGCTTCGAAACTCGGGGTTTTCCGTGAGTATTTCGGTCTGCCTCGATAACCCTTGACATTCACTCGAGGCAGACTCTTGAAGTTTACCGAAGACGTCAGTGTAGCAGTAACTGCTTTAGGCTTCAGGTTGGATGACAATTTTTCCATTTCACGAGCTGCTTTCACCCGATTACCCAGATTTTGTCCAAACAGCCAACCATCCACAGATACGTTAGAAAGGGTTCCTCGGAGCTGTTTGTCTACACTCACCGATACCAAATTCCGCCTACACGTAGATTCTTCATGGTGAATGTCCGAAATTAAACGTCCGGCATCACTGAGGCATTCGACCAGCACTCTGGTATGTGCCCCCTCCCCTTTTTCCAACAGAATTCTCGGCGCTTTGCCAATTGCCACCAGGGCAGCCCCCATCTGGTCTTGGCGCTTAGAGAGCTTCAAGTCCCGCTGCTTGTGTTGTTCCGTGAGAACCGATAAAACCTCTGAGTTCAGTTTGGGGGCATTAGGCTTAAGGCTTAAGTTAGTGGGAGGAGAATATTTTTTACATATAGTTGCTAAAACCTCAGAATCCAAACCTTCCTGTAATATATGGGACCAAATTTGAACAAGTTCGCTGTTAATGTCTTTTGCAGAGGCTTGATCGTCCACAGTTTTTCCCCAAAAGTCTCAAAATTTCGTCCGAGATGGCAACACTGCGTTCGGCAACACTGCATTCGGCAACATCGCACTCGGCAACACTGCGTTCGGCAACATCGCACTCGGCAACATTGTTCCTCTCCAAGGTTCCGTCTGATATGGCAACATTGCGCTCGGCAAGGTTATTCTCTGCTGCAAAAATGGAAGAAATTATGATGCAACTGTACCTGCCTTTAGAAATCGCCAAGACTCGTTGACAATATATGAAAATAAAGGCGACGCCTTGTATTTATTTGCCAAAACTCGTTGGTCTTGCGCTTATCAAAACTCGTTGACGACATCATAAACTACCTTACATGTGGCCAAAACTCGTTGGCATTGTAAAAAAAAAACAATCTTGAATTTGTCAAAACTCGTTGACAAGATAGGAGAATTGTGATGCCCTACATTTCCAAAACTCATTGGCAATGTAATAAAATAATCGTGTGTTTGTCAAAACTCGTTGACCACAGGATTATACCGAAACTCGTCGGTAATACCCAATTTGGGTATAACAAGGGTACCCTTGCTTAGACAGACGTGTGTAACCAAAACTCGTTGGTAGCCATATTGTTTTTGTTTCATACACAATTATATTATGCATCCATAGGATACTTACGTCCCGATGAAGAGGTATCGTAGTTTACCAGGCCTACGGCAGCAGGCCGAATGATTTGGGAGAGGCTTCTTTCACCAACACTACTATCCGAGCTTTCGGGTGACGGCTCTCGTCTTTTGCGCTTCTTCTGAAGTCGGGATACCTTACGAGACAGCTTGTTCAACTGGGTCATGATTCCGGACAGCTCATCAGACGAATCCGAATCTGCATCAGACAGGGCCTGAGCCCGTTTTCGCACATTTCTACTCATTTTCCGAACC